CTCTTCACAGTCCCTGGTTCAGGCAGCATTGCTGAATCAGCTCTTTGTGGTTTCAGCCAACCTGGAGACACTGTCAAGGTCACTTGCTCTGGGATTAGCTGGCCTTACACTGCCTGGTACCAGCAGAAGGTCCCTGGCAGTGCCCCTGTCACTGTCATCTATTCTAATAGCAAGAGACCCTCAGACATCCCTTCACAATTCTTCGGATCCTTGTCCGGCTCCACGGCCACATTAACCATCACTGGGGTCCAAGCCGAGGACGAGGCTGTCTATTTCTGTGGTAGCTACGACAGCAGTGGTACTGGTATATTTGGGGCCGGGACCATGTTGACCGTCAAAGGCGATGGTGAGTCGCAGATTTCTTCTCAGTCTTTCCTTCCCCGGTGCGAAATTGTGACAGCAGCAGTGGCAGCAGCTATGGTGTGTTGACAGTGAGTACCAGGAAGTGAGGAAGAACCCAAAATCAGAGGAAAGGTTTTGGCCCTTCTTTCCCCCCTTTTGTTTCCTAGAGCCCTGGAACTCACTTTATGTCTGTAGACCATCATCCTGGTCCATGCAAAACTCACAGTGTGGCTTTGTCCCCCACCCCACTGCCTCTTATTACTGATGACCATATTGTCCTGCTGCTGCCTCTGTGGTGGGGGTGCACTGGGCTGAGCTCTGCTCCTCAAATGTGCCAGTGGCCTTGTCCTTGTCTGCCCTCTTCCCACTATTGCATTCACTATAACCTTCTCTGGGCAGGTCTGTCCTCCTGTGGCACTGGCTGAGCCTCTCTTTTCTCTCCTCTCCTTTTCCAGGTTCCCTGGTCCAGGCAGCACCACTGAGTCAGCCGTCCTCATTGTCAGCCAAGGTGGGAGAAACCATCAAGATCACCTGCTCCGGTGGCAATGGTAACTATGGCTGGTTCCAGCAGAAGGTCCCTGGCAGTGCCCCTGTCACTGTGATCTGGTACAACAACAACAGACCCTCGGACATCCCTTCGCGATTCTCCGGATCCACATCCGGCAACACGGGCACATTAACCATCACTGGGGTCCAAGCCGAGGATGAGGCTGTCTATTTCTGTGGGAACTATGACAGCAATGCTGGTCAACCTCCTCTTGCTGCTGCCATTTCTCCTTGCACAGCCCTCACATCTTGGGTTCTCTGTGTGTCTCTGATTCTCTCCATTGCATCATGGAGTCTTTGGGCACAGGGGCCCAGTCCTGATGCCCTGGGCAAGGCTGTGCTGCTGGGAAATGTCTGATCTCTCTCTTCTCTCCCTCTCCAGCTTCCTTTTTCTGGGCAGATCACTGCTCCTGTGGCACTGGATGATCCTCCTTTTCTCCCCCCTCTCTTCTTTCTCTCCAGGTTTTGTGGTCCAGGCGCCATCACTGAGTCAGCTGTCCTCATTGTTAGCCAAGGTGGGAGAAACCATCAAGATCACCTGCTCAGGGAGCAACAACGAGTATGGCTGGTACCAGCAGAAGGTCCCTGGCAGTGCCCCTGTCACTGTGATCTATGATAACAGCAGGAGACCCTCAGACATCCCTTCACAATTCTCCGGATCCACATCCAGCAACACGAACACATTAACCATCACTGGGGTCCAAGCCGAGGACGAGGCTGTCTGTTTCTGTGGTAGCTTCGACAGCAGCAGTAGTGCTGGTATAATCGGGGCCGGGACCATGTTGACCGTCAAAGGTGAGTCGCAGATTTCTTCTCGGTCTTTCCTTCCCTGGTGCGAAATTGTGACAGCAGCAGTGGCAGCAGCTATGGTGTGTTGACAGTGAGTACCAGGAAGTGAGGCAGAACCCAAAATAAAAGGAAAGATTTTGGCCCTTCTCCCTCCTGTCTGGCTGTG